CATCATCTGATGTGTGCTGTGTACTTTCTCCTCTCTTGGCCGCGGAAGGAGGTTGAGTGTTCTGTGTTACTGGTTGAGGCTGTTTCTGGACTGGCGGTTGCGGCTGTGCAACATGATGCTGATGATTAGACTTCAGCTGCTGTGCAGGAAGATGCCGTTGAGACATGTGAAGCTTCCGTGGCCTTGTCCACATTTGACGCAACGTTGTGAATGGCTGCAGTACGACCTAATGTGGCCGTATTTTTGGCACCTGACGCATTGTGGAATAATTTTTTTCTTTCGAAGTTCTTCTATATTAACTTTTGTGTAAAATATTTTTTTAATGTCAAAATTGTTTTCATTAAACGAGGACTTATGAATATCGGCAAAGAACATTGGCAAAGGACGTTTGAATCGGGATATTGCGTTAGTAATACCTGCAACATGGTATCCGTAACTTTTTAGGTCTCGTTTAATCTCTTCTAAAGGAATGTTGTGGTGTAAATCTTTAATAACAACTCGAGGATTCCTATCTTCAACGAGTTGATACGTGTGAAATTCTGCACCACTGTTTTTCAGACAATTAACTAATTTTCGGTAGTCGTTTGAGGTTTCAGGGTAAACTGTCACTCCCATAAATGTTGATCGTAATAAAAAACTGTTGGGGCCTGTATTTGCTTACAGATATGAAACTAACGCAGCGTAGTTTTCTACTCCTGTGATATAGATTGGAGGTGGTTTAGAGGTTGAGTTAGATGGTGCATTATCAGGTGGGGTTTGGCATTGATCATTAGAATCAGCAAGGGCTTGAAAAATATTACTAATAGTTACCTCTGTTTCCGTTCTTTTTTGTTTTCCCGAGTCCCTGTCTCCAACTATATTCCTTTTCCTGCCCGTTACTAGTTCCCATACACCTCTTTCCCTGTCCGTGCATTGAGAGTTGTCATTATAGTCCATATAACCTTCCCGGGCCGCGTTCATAGTAGCGGCTAATTCCGCCTCGCTCATTAGTGTTACTCCAAACCTATCCGTTAATTATTTTCAAAATAATTACTTCTAAACACCAAGTTATATACAAAAATGTTTAGAGCAATTACAAATTGAACTTTTCTATAAGGTTAGCACCATATATATATATATACCATATTCACCATATATATTAGCACAAATTTTATTGTTCGATTTTCGTAGTTGTTTAAAGTTGGAAATATGAGTTTATTTAAAGTATAAGTATATTTTACTTCAAACAATTGTTTCTTAAATACTTTTTTTGTCGTTTCTCTTTCGGACTAGAATTTACTTAGAATTATCACATATGATGATTGAGAAGTAGGGTGCTGAATTTAACACTTCCACTCTCAGTTTTCATCGTTTTAGTAAAGTAAAATTAAAGTTACAAGGGGATGTTGTGGATGTCGGTACATCATTTTAGATGATAATTTTATTGGCGATTTGAGGTTGAAAAATATTTGACCCATGTCCGAGGGTTGTTGTTAAAGCGCCCAAGGAGCCAAGAAAAAAACATTGTCTTAAATGGAGGAAGACATTATATCTTTTTTCAATATACTGTTTAATTAAACCTCCAGTATATTTCAGAAACATTCAAGCTGTTTTTTAAAATTAAAATCGGATTTATCTAAAATTATAACTTAAAAGTAAGATTCAGATTTAGATAGCTCCAAAAAAACTTATGAATGAGATGAATTAATTTTTGTTTATTTTTCTCCAAATCATTAAAGTTCTTTTTTAAATGTTTTAGAAGCATGGGGAACGTTTATATTCTTATTTTACTTCTAGCTTACGCTCGAAATAAAAACGTTATCCAGGAAAACATATTTTAAATAAAAATGTGACGTAAACGTCACAATGAAATTTACACATAGCGCTGGTGCATTTGTGTGGTAGTAAGTTTGCCAGATTAACAAGTTTTTTTCTCTCATTACCGTCAATATTTAAACCACAAATTTGAATATATCGAAAAAAAAATATAAGTTTATCTGCATCTAAGGATTACCTCTATACAATATAACAAAAATGGCCAAATACGTTTGAGTTGATGAATTTAAATATGAACGAAAGTTAAAGTATGAACAAGAAAAATATTTTATTTTTACATAGTGTTTTTTACTCGGTTTATATTTGAACTAAATATAAATGAATATAATTTGAATAAAAATTTAAATAAAATTTGGAAATACTTATCCTAAAACGTAGAATCTATCACAACAGTAATATTGTTCACAAGAACTTTTTTTTTTTTCAACGCACTGAAATGTTTTCTCTAATTTTTATTTGGAATAGTAACCAACAAATATTTGTATTCTGATGACATATTCCATCTATTAGTCGATTTTTTTGAATTTATTCCTCCCTACCTAGCTTGTTCAAAGTGATACAACGCATACAAAAAATGTCGCGCATACACAATTGAGTATCACCTATATTATTTAATCATCTTGTGATGGAAATGGCAAGATACTCCTGAATTATGATTCTCCTGCAAGCACCACTAATGACGAAACTGACTATCTCTCTCCTATCATCTATCAAAAACTAGAAAAGTTTCACAAATCCCGAAATGTTTAGCAACAAATTATATAACCTAGATTAGTGACAACTACAGTATTGAAATATAGATGAATAATTCAAATATTCATGCCGGAGACCGTTATGTTAAAATTTTACCTTAATTTTCAATATATTATACTTTTGAATGCATTTTAAATTAATAAAGTTAAGTTTCTATTTGATTCATATTCAGAATAAGTGTCGTAACTTAAGCAATAGTCTGTTTTTCCTGCAAGTCGACCAGATGTGACAAAGCTATCTAATTATAAACTTCCATTCATAATGTAAAATCAAATAAGCCCTTCTTTATTAATTTCAATTTGTATCGAATCGCAAAACAAAATACTATTTCTGACTTCTTTTCTTTTATAGAAAAAAAAAGGAGATAAAATAAGAGGCGAAGACAGACGCCAGCGAGTCGTGTTTGAATCGATGGCTACTCTCCTCATGAAGTAGCAACGGCCTTAGCCCAAGATTTTGAGCAAGAGAACATTGTTTATCAACCTTATCGCCATCAACGCATCAAACAATAGTTGTATAAATCTCCTATACACGAGGAAAATTTGTCTGGATATAATATACAGAGTTAACGGAGTTTCCGTTCTCTTTTCTTTATAATGTTTACAACGTTATAATATTTCTTATTGCATTGACTACATAGTATAAATGTGCCTCTCTTACCTCTAATACTTAGTGACCTTAAGTGTGGCAAAAGTTATTATTATAATAAAAAGATTATTAAAAAAAAACTGTCGATGGACCTTTGTAAATTTAATATTTTACTAATTTAGTTTTTTCTATACAGTCAATCATTTTAATATTCATAAGAGACTTAGGAAATTCTTTTTTTGTATTTTTTGGTTTGTTATTTTCAATAATGAACCTTTGTGTTCGAACAAAAAATTCAAAAACTTAACCCCCTTTCAACATTTGTGGTTTATGTTTCAGGATAAATAGAAAAAAACGAATACAAATTATTTTGTCAGTCCGCCGTCCGCGCATTATTTCCATAACTGCTGGACCGACTTTTAAAACTTTTTACTTGGACAAGTATACACTTTTTTGAGGATATTATATATATAGTTATTTAAAAGCTTACGGAATTTCCTAAAAAAAAAAAAAAAAAAAATCATTAAAATCGGACAATTAGGAGCAAAGATATGGTCTCTAGATGTTTTTTATGTTACACTGAAAAGAATATATTCTTTGTTTTGGTTTTTGATTTTTGAATGTGTTACTGAAGTAATGCTAATTTTTTAAGCATATTACTAATGATTAAAAAAAAAATGTTTAGTCCAATAATTGGAATCACTGTTTATTTCTTTGTCACTAGGAAGGTACTGTTACTTCAGATGTATGATTGTTTGAAAATAATAACCATTGTGAAATAATTTGCAGCATTTCGTATACGTATCCGTATTGTTATCTGCGTATCGTATCAGGTTTTGGAATCTACATATGTTTTATATAATATAAAATAGTATCAAGGAAACGGCAAACTACAGATTAATAAATCAAAAATTCTCACCAATCTCCTAAAGAAAAGTGATAATGGAAGCTCCGTGAAACAAATACCCAGCTTTACACTTTGAAATATCAACTAATCGGTTATTGTCGCATATCATCTGAGGTTCGGGGATAACCTTCCTAAATGTTATATCTCCAAATATAATCATATTTGCACACTCTATAGGCTTATAGCTCAATGCATATAATTTGTTAATGAATGGAAAACTGTCTATTACTGATAACCTAGATTACTTTGAAGTTTAAAGAATTTTTAAGTATATTTTCATATGAGTATATATTCATATGAATGTACACATAGAGTCTTAATGCCCAATGACCTTAATTGTGGTAGATTGTGTTATGATTCTAAAAAAAATAAAATAAAATAAAAAATGGTAAAACTAAAGGTGCGTTTAGGCTTTTCAAAAACTATGGGAAAAACAAATATATAAATGGTTGTTTCACTATGCTAGTATTTTATTCGTGTTTTTAATGTTTTCCATCTACTGTCAGTATCAAGGGAAATAAAATGTTTGTTTATGCAATAATGTCTTGTTAACTAAGTTAGATAATTGTGTTTCCCATACTTTGGGAAATGTGTAAATGAATCGTAAGAAAAAAATACAGACAACATCGGTTTTTTTCTTGTACTTGTATTTACCAATTGTCAAACAACAAATTAATTTCTAGATCCTTCTCTGGGAGGTACCGAATTAATAAAAATTAAATATGTGGCAAACCACTTATCGAACTTCAATAGTTTCTTCAATATTAAAAAATCGCTAAGAGTTGTAAAACGGGACCTGGAAATGTTTATATATTTTTAATAATTTACACAGCTTTTCAACTTGAATACTATTGAAAATATGTAGTCTGGTAATATATATGCTAATAACATATATTATTGATTTGAATATTTTATCTCGTTTATTTGACCTATGGGAAAGGGGTTGTTCTTGGTACATCCGGTTGGAAGTAATACTGGCAAACATATTTCCCTGGAAGGATCATGTTGCTACTGTAAACAGATCTCTCCTCCGAATGGAAGTCATCAGGCCTCAAGGGCAGACTCTTGAAAAATACACCATCTTATTTGTCTTCGCTTGTATATCCTCCGCCGGTGCTTGTGACTTCATATTGATGTTTATCATTTCAAAAGCTAATACATAGTGAGATACAGATGCAGCTTCAATACACCCCTGAAAGTAGTAAATTGCTGGATTCACTTCACGTTTAAATATTGTTTCATTCCGTTAATTTATTTAATAATAAATCAAAACAAATTTGCTGTTTTGCTGCTAAGTGTTCAGTGAAATTTTTAACTTTAATCTTTGACAAATATATAACATAAACTATCTTGCTTACATTTTTATCCTTCATTCAGCTATTTCAAATAGGTAAACAGATAAAAAAAAACCTATAGAACTCACTAAGATTGTCATATTACTCTAAAACAATGTAATGTGTTTTTAAAAAAGTTTTATAAATAGAATTAAGTTAAAAACCTTTATAAACTTGTATACCTTCCATTCAATACCGCCAAATTCCACGTCCATTACATAAATAAGATTGACATTAATTCAATTTACAAAATGAAACTGAATGAAATGGATAATAGAAAATGTCTACACCATACTGCAACTTTTTTGTTGTGTCATTTCTGAAATTTAAACATATCAACAACAGTATATGAGCGCATCCGTAAACGGAATTAAAATTAAATTAATGCTGGATTGTTTGTTCACTAATACCTAACTTTCTTCCAAATCTGTGAAAAATTAACCTTTTTTGCAATATAGGCGTATCAATTAAATTTGTTGGTTATTGTTGATGTCAACTGCACTTCTTCCTTGAGAGGTGATGGTTACGTAAGTTGGACTAGCAATGTACATCGGTTTTGATGGGAGTCCTTTGACAATATCGTTGTTTTATTTGTAGAAGTTTTCTTAGCGAAACTTCCCTCTGGTACAGGTTTAGAGGGCCACTTGTGGAAGAGGCTTTTTTCTTCTCTGCTTTTTCTTAACTTTCTGGAAAGTTTATCTTTTTCCGTTGGCTAATTGCCGTGATTCTCTTACACATGTCAGCTCCCGAGACGTCGCAGGTTATGACAGTGATTTTTGCTTGGCATTGCTTCCCCCCTTAATTCCCTCAATAACCATAGGTACTGCCTTTTCGTCTAACGCGTTCATTGTAATGTCAAAATTTAATAAATAGCTAATGTGTACTGTAAAAAACAACGCGTTGTACCACAGTCGATTATTCATCGTTTTTATAATTAATGGATTCCATGACATCTAATAATTGTTGTATTTTACCATTTAAGTGTTTTTATACCTTTGCATCTTTCGCGTTCATATATACCCTTAGATTTTCTTCAATCCTGCGAGCATCCTGCAGGAGACTATCTTCTGCACGCTCCTTATCTGATCCATCACGGGTATCCGGAGATCCTTTTCTTTGCCTCTTTGATGAACTCCTTGGGCGCATCATTACAGCTTGTTCTTCCACCACTCTTGGTTTATGGATGGTATATAAGCGATCAATCTGCAAACATATGAATAATAACCTGAACCGACTAATGGGTGCCTTTACTTTACACATAGTAGATTAATTAAATTATCTTAAAAAATTGAGGCATCTGGTGGGCTTCCAAGAATATGTGTATGTGTAAATGTCCAAAGCACTATAAATAATAAAGTTCATCGATATGCAGAAACAAATCAAATTTCAACTTAACTTTGTATATCGTTTACTCACATCGGTATTATGCAATACAAAAGATTGGATTTGGACTGTTTCTTCAGACATTATTTTTTAGGTCTTAGCTTTTTCTCAACTAGTACTGTTAAATCACCCTTAGAATAAGAAAAATACGACAATGTAAACATTTATCACAAAGTTTTTTTTTTAATGGAAACTCTGAAATGTGTGAATAACCGCTCCAAAATGATTAAAAAAAAAAAAAATAGTATAATATTTCTTCTATACAATACGTTTTTTTTTTATCACTGTACATATTTTAAACACTTTCCCAATTCATTATCGTTAATATCTAGGAGATCGATATATGCTAACAATAGCTCGTTGATGTGATGAAATTGAAGTCAGCTTTTAGTTAATGAGTCGAGCAATCATTAGTGTAATGATATCGAGGCTTGATAAAGATAATGGACATTATTGATGTACCCGCTGAATGTACAAGTATTCGAGAAATTATTTTAAATAAGAAAATATGAATTTTTATAATTTATCTATGTTAGAATTAAACATTTTTTTTGGAAGTTACATTATTGTATAACACATATAGCAAATATTTTACAAATATATAAGCAACTATAACTTACTTAAATTTACGAATTATAAACTACAACACATATTTCAACAGAACACGGACAGAACAAATCGTACTTTACAACGATGTTCTTTTAATTGAATCGGTAAGTGCAGAAACCACATCAGTCGCAAATTTCAATTTTTTCAGGAGAGAGAAATAAGGTCATAACTTCTCCAAATTTTCAAATATTTGAACCTTTTTTTCCTCTGTCATAACATGCATTTATGTTGCTGTCATTCAAAAATTACCTAATTTCGACATAAATTAGGCTCAGGAAATTAAAAATTTGATTCGGACTTATGCTGTTTCTTCACTCCACTGTTTTTTACAGACAGCTGAAAACTTGGAAAAAGGTAATCATTCATTAAAACTTTACAATTTTAATTAACAATATATTTTACAACAATTTATATTAGTTTTAATTTATTTTACAATTTAATTTGATTATAAGTGAAAATACAAAGACTCGGGGTTTTATATTACTTGCAAACATTCCGAGTGATACTTAACATAACATAATACATTGTAACATAATTAACATAAGATTACGTATTGTAAAACTTTTTTTTTTTTTTTTTTTTTATTTATTTATTTTTTTTTTTATTGGTGATATTTACAACTGTATTACAAGTAAAAATACATTCAGTAAATGTGAACAAGGAATAAAATAGCATGAAATCACATGTTGAGAAACTACCCATTGGTAGCACTCTAAAAATGTATTTACAAAAGGAGTTCAGACGCCTCTGAGGGTTGTCAGGGATCGAAGAGGAAGCAAGGTTAGAAACGAGAGGGTTTGGATGGTTCTGAAGTTTGTTATGGAAGGATAGGTATCTGGATTGGGCCAAGTCGGAAACATAAGGAACATTAAGGTCGTTATGGATGATTTTGTTTGTGACAAAGTAAGGAGCAGTGAGGATTTTACGAAGGATTTTGGATTGTAAGGATTGAATACGAGAGGAATTCGATGGCTTAGTGGAGCCCCAGAGCTCAACTCCGTAAGTCCAAATAGGTCTTATTGTAGTCATGTATATGAGTCTTTTGTAATTGACTGGGAGGTTAGAGCGTTTATCTAGTAAGTGCTGGAGTAGTCGGAAACGTCGAGCTGTTTCTTGTCGTTTCAGTCTGGTATGAGGATTCCAAGTTAGACGTTTGTCTAAGTGGAGTCCAAGATATCGAATTTGTTCAACAGGAATAAGTGGGGTATTATTAAAGGATACTGTAGGACAAGAGGACATAGGTTTACGACGAAGGGTAAAGGTGATTTGATGGGATTTATTGGAATTTATTTTTATTCTCCAGTTTTGACACCATTCTTCAAGGTTTGTGATGTGTGATTGAAGGGTTTGGGATGCAATTGTTGGGTCGTTATTAACTGATAGGACACATGTATCATCGGCGTACGTGGTAATGACTGTGTTAGGATGGGTTGGGATATCAGCTGTATAAACTGTGTAAAGGATAGGACCTAGGATACTACCTTGAGGAACACCAGCGGACTGGGAAAAAAGGGATGAATAGGCATTATTATGATTTACTTTGAAGGATCTATCAGTAAGATAGGAACGGATAATGAGGAAGTATGTAGGGTGTAGGAATTTACGGAGTTTGTAAAGCAGTCCTGGGTGCCAGACTCGATCAAAAGCCTGTTCTACATCGAGAAAGACTCCCGTGCAGTACATTCCGCGCTCCAATGCAGAGGAGACAACATCCACCACACGATGGCATTGCTGGATAGTGGAATGGGATCTGCGGAATCCAAATTGATGATCTGGGATAATGTGATTAGAATCTAGGATGGGGTACAGGCGTTTTAGGATGAGCTTTTCCAGGATTTTGCCTAGGATGGGTAAAAGGGAGATAGGGCGATAAGAGGATGGGTTTTCTGGTGGCTTTTTGGGTTTATGTATCATTTTGATAATAGAGAATTTCCAAGGGTCAGGAAAGTATGTTGATCGCAGTACAGCATTATATATATAAGTAAGAAATAGAATGGCTTTCCGAGGAAGGAGTTTTAGGATCTGGGATGTAATTAGGTCGTGTCCAGGAGCTTTTCGGGATGGTAACCTTTGAATGATGTCGGATATTTCTGAAGGATGAAAGGCTTTAGGTGGAAGAGACATTTGGAGTGGGATATCCAGTTCTGCTTCAATACATTCAAGGTGATTTGGGTTAAGAATATCGGGGTGTGGATTAAAGGTTTTAAAGAGGTGACGAGCAAAGATTTGTGATTTTTCTTCATCGGATTTTGACCAGGTTTGAGCTTCAGTAAGAAGCGGATGATTACAGTCTTTAAATTTCAGGAGCCTTTTAGTGGTCGTCCATAGTGATTTGTCGGTAGGTGTAAGTTTTTCAGTAAAATTTAATAAATTTTGAATTTTGTATTTTTTAATTTCAGATTTTAGTTTGTTAGTCAGTTGGGTATAATGAGTTTTATCTGTTGGATATCTGGTTCTATGCCACTTCGATCTTGCTCTGCGTTTTTCCTTCAATAAGATACGAATATGCTGTGGCAAGTCAGTCTTTTGTGAATTGTTAAACTTATTGATAAAAGTATTATTATTTATACTGTCTGTTATTGACGCTGTCAGTTTTTCAATGGCACCATTAATGTCGTCTTTTGTCTTTAGCGGAATTTTTAAGTCTAGTTTGTTTTCCAAATCATCACGAAATTCGTCCCAGTTTACTCGTCCTGTAATCAATTTAGGAGTTGATGGTTTAGGAGCATAGCTCGAATGTAGTGAAAGCAGAACTGGACTGTGGTCTGAAGAAAGGTCATCAAGGGATTTGATTATGGTTTGTGAGGAGGAGATCTGGGAAGTTATAAATATATCTAGGATATCGGGACGTTTTTTGAGGGATGTTGGCCAATAAGTAGGACTCATGGGCGAAAGGATTGAATAATTGTTGGAAGTTGAAACACGTGATAGGATGTTACCGCGGGGGTTGGATGTTCGACAACCCCATCGTTGGTGTTTAGCATTATAGTCTCCTCCAGCAATAAAGCGCGATCCGAGGGATTGGAATAAGGTATCTAGGAGGTTATAGGAGAGGGAATTACCAGGAGGACAGTATACAGCTGAGAATGTGAGATGGAAAGGGCAAGTTGAAAGGACTACAGAAGTTGATTGAATGGCATCAGTTGGAGTTGAAGGAATTTGTAAAACTTAAATTTAATATTATTTACAAAAATAAAATTATACATATAGTAAATATATTTCTTTTTAATAAATAACAGTATTCATTAAGAAATTTTTGTGGAAATATTTCTATTCACTTCTGTAAATTTAAGCCTATTCATTTTTATAAACGTCAATACTGCCGTATTCACTTTCACAATCGTGACTACGGTCGTATTTATATTTACATCCGTGAATACGTATCATCTGTATTCATATTTCTTTTTATGAATATAAGTATAAGCACCATAAATATAGATGGTATTCGTTTTTTATTAAATATAAATATGCCCACCTCTGCTGCTCATGCGATCCAACGGTGGGTTGCAGAAACCATATCAGTCACAGACTCATGTTATTTCTGCGCTCAACGATCGAAAAATACGTCATGTGTTTACGGAACTACTCAACAGATCAACGTGGTTATTGCACTCAATACGCATCTTGCCTTTCTAAGCTTCTTTTTATCGAAAACGATTTTTCGCCTTTCTTTTTACTGATGTGGTTTCTACACTCGCCGATTCAATTAGTGACCGTACTTCGTCTGTAGATTTTTTTTTTTTTTCAAAATTCCTTTATTGTTCTTTTTGAGTTTTTATTATAAAAGCTTTCTGCAGTTGCTAACGCTACAGCTTTAATTTATTTTATTCTAAATAATAATTTATTTAATTGATAATTTGGTTTATTTAATCAAAATTAAATCATTATTAATCATATATATTCTTAGGCCCATAGCTTATATTGTTTATATTCGACATAGACTGGTTCATAGTTTATATGTATATATTGTTATGGAGTATAATCCTGGCTATAAAAAAGTGCTAGCTTCAAGCTCTAAGGCCGTGGACTTAGACAATAGACGGCCTGACCCCGTCTGTGACTGAGCTCAGTGTTGCTAACCTCTATATTGCCCATCACAGTTCTACTCAGAAGGGACCTACTACTCTCGCCGTGCTCGCCACTTCCAATTTGCATTTTGATTATATGAGCGCTCATAAAAAATCTGCATTGATATTAGAAGGATTGGAGTG